GAAGGTATGTTAGTTCATATTCATATTTATACGATACGATAGAGATCATTATTATTCCACTTATAAACGAGTTGTCCTGTTTCGATGTTTCATCGAACAAACCGTGCTTCAATCATGACCATTATATCCTGTACGAATAATCCAAGTGATATTCACGTCGTTGTCCAAGTAAATTACTCGTTGATGTCATGTTCAACAGGACGAATGCTAGTTTGCCGATATTAAATGCAGATTCAATTGAACCATTTAGATAGGGGTGGGAGGGGAGGAAGAAGTGATAATCTAATTTAATTATTAACAGTTGTTTAGTCATCTGATTCGTTTCTACACTCAAGATAATACATATAAACATATACATACATACATACATATATATATATTCATTTTTATTGATATATTATAGAATATTATAAAGTCATTTCAATTATGAAATTTATTATAATCCAATCAGATTTTTTTTCTATTTTATTTGTTTTCCGTTGAAAATAAAATTAAATAAAATTAAATAAAATTAAATAGAATTAATTTTTATATATTTAATAGAATTAAATTACGTGACATTATAAAAACGAATATTGTTGAGAAAAAAAAAGAAGTTGTTTTGTCATTTTGAAGGATCTAGAAAAGGATTCGTGCAATTTGAAAAAATAGAAAAAAGAAAAATTAAAAGTAAATTTCGAAAGAAAAAAAAAAAAAAACTCGTGACAAGTAGATTTCGTCGGAAGTAGAGCTAGAACTAGAGTTAATCCTCTTGGAATTAAAATCCTGATTCCTTCGGACGACCAGAGAGTAGGATATCGAAAGATGTAATGACCACCAACCCGATGAATTTCTTACTTAAGAGAAAAAGAGTGAGAAAGAGAGAGAGAGAGAGAGAGAGAGATAGTTAAAAAAAAAAATGAGAGACAGATTACAGTAAGGTAAATGATTTCCGTCGTAAGAGAGGGAATTACTTCGATTAAACTATTTGCATTGGTTCCTTCGTGAAATGAAAGAAAATGTTGATCGAGATTAATTACTTAATATTTTTCTTTTTGTTTTTATTTAACATTAGAAAAAGAAAATGTTTATTGCAATTACTATATAAAAAATTTAAGATAATAACATATATTAAATGTAATATTTTATTCAAAGATTTTATTAATTCACGTTAGAAAAAAAAATGTTCATTGCAATATTAAAAAATTCAAAATTAATATATATACAAATTAGGTAACCAAAATGTCGGAAGATTTTAGTATCCATAGTGGATTAAAACAGGGGGACGCATTGTCACCTCTTTTGTTCAATTTAGTATTGGAACTTGCTGTCAAAGAACTGCAGAAAAGTAAAGATGGTCTATAGTTGAACGGGACAACACAATTGTTGACATACATGGAAGATGTTGCTTTGTTAGGGGACAGTAAACAGTCATTAATTAATAACGCAAAAATATGATGTATATGATGAATATATGGGACTACAAATAAGCGCGGAAAAAAGCAAATATATGATAACCGATAGAGTTCAGAATACTCCTAATATTGGAACTTTGGTCGTCCGGGATAAAACTTTTGAACGGGTCTGTAACTTTAGGTATTTAGGATCGATCATAAATCAGACGAACGAAATTAACGAAGAACTTAAGAAAATGAATCAATTTAGGCAATTCATGTTTTTATTCGGTTAACAAATTACTCAGCTCGTGGTTGTTGTTTAGGCGATTCAAAATCAGGATATACAGGACAATCATTCTGCCGGTGGTCCTTTATGGTTGCAAATCGTGGTAGCTTATGTTAAGGGACGAAAAGAAATTGAGGGTTTTTGAAAATAAAGTTGTTCGTAAAATGTTCGGTGCAAAACACGATGAGGAAACGGGTAAATGGAGAAAACTCCATAACGTTGAAGTACATCGATTGCACAATAAACTGGACATTATCAACGTCGTAAAATCACGCCGATTAAGATGGGTTGGTCACGTGGCGCGTTGCATGGGGGAGGATCGAACAGCGCACAAAATATTGGTCGGTATACCAAATGGGAAAAGACCACTAGGTAGACTAAAACGTAGATGGGAGGATAATATTAGAAGGGACCTGAAAGAAATAGGATACGAAGACCGCGAATGGAAGAATCGCGCTCAGGGACGGAACAATGGTGGGATTGGGTATTTGAAGCAATTAACTTTCGAGTTCCTAATGCCAATTAATAATAATAATAATAATAATGTATATACAAATCTGTATTCTTCAATAACTTTTATTCGAAAATATTTGATTCGACAATTAATTAGAAAATAATTAATTATTCTAATTGAAAATGAATTAAAGTAAAATAATAAACGTCATTTGATTTATCAATCAATTGAATTAATTATTGAACTCAAATATCTGTCTGTTAAGATAGATTTCTAATGAACGTATTCAAATAATATTTTTTGACACTATACAGTTGAGAATGTTAATTTGAATTTCATGATTTGAAAGTAATCGTTTGTGTTTCCTATTTCATGTCAAATCCGTTTACTTGATAGGATACGTTTTCAATTTTGATCGATATAACAAATTTTGTTAGAATTGATTTAGAATACGCGTTCTATATGATAAACTGAATATATCTATAAATTGTATAAATTGTTGAAGAGAGACAAATAGAGAAAGAGAGAGAGACAGAAGAGAGAGATTATCATAAGATGATCATGTGTATATACATTTATGCATAATGTATCTGAAATATTCGTATTAGTAATATTGCTTGTGATCTTGGAAATTCTGAAGTATCGTTCAATCGTATCTTGATTCGTATTGTATAATATTTGTAAAGGATCCTTTTGTGATAATATATTGCATTTAAATTTATCGTAAAATGTTGACACACAGACCAATATTTTTACTATATTATTTTTCATTTTTTATAATACAATTATTTTCGAAAAAGAAGTTATTGAAGAATATAGATTTGTATATATATATAGAGAAATTAGGAATTTTTTATTTGGTTGCAATGAATATTGCATAATAATTTTAAATCTATCGTAAAATGTTGACACACAAACCAATATTTTTACTATATTATTTTGCATTTTTTATAATGTAATTATTTTCGAAAAAAAAAAGAAATTATTGAAGAATAATAATATATAAATTATAATTATAAGATATTAGTATATCTATATATATTTTTATAGAAATTAGGGAATTTTTTAATTGGTTGCAATGAACATTGCGTAATAATTTAAATTTATCGTAAAATGTTGACACAAACAAAATTCTTTTCCTTTATATTTATTATTATTATTATTTTTATTTATTTATTATTAATTTTATTATTATTTTATTATTATAATTATTCGGCAATGATCTTTCTAGTTCCTAATCCCAATTAATAATAATTATATTTATTATTTATTTTATTATTTAGGAAAAGAATAAAATAATCTAAAATTCGAGAAATAAATTAAACAAATTTTAATTATTTAATAAAAAAAAATAATATGCAAGATTTATCTAATTTATATATTTTTATTTTTATTTTCTACCCTTATTGTAAAATCAATTCTCACTGTTCGATGAAGAAAACTAACATAAAAAAAAGGACTAAAATATAAAATACAATGATAAAAATTAAAAAAAAAAGTTAATTGTTTTCTTATTTAATAAAAAAAAAAATAAAAATAAAATAAAAAGGTGCATCATAAATACCGCGTCAAAGGGTGAGAAGCATCATCATCGATCTTGGGTATGACGTAAAAGGCACGTCATCGATCAAGGGAAAAAGAATATTAATAATATATATATATATATATATTTGCTTGGACGAATGAATTTTCTTCGTACGAGGGGTGTTGGTTTTTTTTTTTCACCCTACGTACGTTGAATGACGCAAAACGGTTCGAGACGTTTATCGTATATAGTAAATAAAGTAAGTTTCATTAAGTCGGAAAATACGATGATCGAATTAGTTGGATGAATAGGGTAAAGGGCAAACGCGGTGAGAGAACAAGATAGGACGATCTACGATATTATATTCCTTCAGGTTAAAAAGACAGAGAGAGAGAGAGAGAGAGAACAAAAATAATAAAAGAGAGAGGGTGAGAAAGAGGAAATAGGCATATTGACTAAAAAAAAGAACCGTGTAAGTGGGGTTGAAAAACGTAAGAAAATTCACGTGATGGCAACGAATAAGCCAAAGAGAATGAGAGAAAGGGATGAGAGGGTGAATGTAGATTGAGAATGTGTTTTTTTTGTGTATGTATGTATGTATGAGTGTATGTGTCTGTCAGTGTATAAAAGAAAGAACGTGAGTGAGAAAGAAGAGAATGATAAAAGGAGAGAGTTCGAGGTCATCAAAGAAGGAAAAAATTTCCTGCCGGAAGGTTGAAAAGGAAACGAGACGGAAGAGAATTTTTGGTATGGAAGGAACGTTGAACAAAACAGTGAGAATGAGAATGAGAATGAGAATGAGAATGAGAATGAAAGAGAGAGAGAAAGAGAGAGAGAGAAAAAGTTTACATATGTGGTACATGTATGTGTGTTTGTATGTAGAAAAGAATAAGAATAAGAATAAGAACAAGATTGAACATAGAAGAAGTACATAGAAACGTGTGTGTATGTATATATATATATATATATATGACCGAGATAGAAAAATAGAAGCTGGTGCTGGTGCATCAATGTGTTTGAAAGAAAATCATGAAAGTGTATGTGTGTAATGTGTACGTATAGATGTGAGCGAGAGTGTGAGATAGAAAAGAATGCAAAAAAAAAAAAGTTGCAGGAATTTATATAATAAAAAAAAAAAAAATAATAAATAAAAAATAAAATAAAATAAAACAAAAAAATAAAATAAATAAAGGAAAGAAGAAAGGAAGAATAAAAAAAAAAAAAAAATTATGGGATTATGATGAATAAAGAAAAATGAGAAAGGCTCCGGCGGGGGCCGCTCGTCAAAAAATCATCGAGGATCACTGATCACATCCCTCTTGGACTGATTGGCTCTTTTTCTCGGTTCATGATTCGCAGGTATGTCTTCACGATAGTCAGCTACCTGATCGGAGTCTTCATATTCGCAACGATCGTCGGACAGGTTGGGAACGTGATAACCAATAGGAACGCAAATCGTTTGGAGTTCGAGAGACTGCTAGACGGTGCTAAAACTTATATGAGACATCACAAAGTACCTGGTGGAATGAAAAGGAGGGTTCTAAGGTGGTACGACTACAGCTGGTCACGTGGTAGAATACAAGGTGGTGGTGATATCAACACCGCATTGGGTCTACTTCCTGATAAACTCAAGACAGAACTTGCTTTACACGTCAATCTTGCTGTACTCAAGAAGGTTACCATTTTTCAGGTGAGATCTTTTACGATCTCTTCTTCTTCTTCTTCTTCTTTTTTTTATTTTGTTTTTTTTTTTGTAATTGTTAACCCTTTCAGTGGTGCTGAATACTTTTAACTACAACGTTTTGTAGAAACAATTTATTATTAAACTAATATTAAATAATATTTAATAATATTAAATGAATATTATTAAATTGAATAATTTATTAAATTTAAAATTATTATTAATAATTATTTAATAATATTAACTATTATTAATCAAATTCTAATAATAAATAATATTTATTGAAGTTTTTTTTTTTTTTACTATATAAAATATAATTGAATTATTTAATATAAACATTACATTATATTTTACATTAATATTAATAAACACATATATAGATTACTTTGGTCATTTTTATCAAACGCATATATGCGACGCATATAGCACTCTAAGGGTTAAGAAAAAGAAGAAGAAGAAGAAGAAGTATGATGAATGTATACTTTCCTTTCTTTTTATATTATGTGTCTGTATTTTTTTTTTTTTTTTTTTTTTTTCTTTTAGCACATTCCCTTGAATTTTTTCTCATACATTTCTTATCGTACATTTTATAGATCTTTATATATCTAGGGGATTCATTATTTCGATTCCCTTTTTGATTCCAGTTCCATGCTTCCGTTCTTACATATACACGATTGACCTAGCTTGTTGCAGTAATGCTTTTGCTTCTTGCTGCATACACTCAAGTATATTTTCTAGATTCTTTTTCAAGTAAATTATATTCGAGTTTGGAAAAAAAAGTAAGATATTTGTTAAAAGAAATATGTGAAATAATGATCAAGATATTTAAAAAAAAAAAATAAAAATAAATAGAAAAGTCATGTTGCGTAAATTGATTCAAAAAGAAAGAATTGTTGGTAATTGCAATCATTGCATTTGTATTATTAAAATAATAATAATTATGGTGTTAATACGAAGTCAATTAATGATAGAATATTTTGATTAGAGATATTTTGAAAAAAAAAAAAAATAAAATAAAATAAAAAACAAATAGAAAAATTAAATTGTACAAATTGATTCCAAAAGAATTGTCTATGCTTAATAGTTTTTGCATAATCATTGCATTTTTATTATAAAAATAATAATTATTATTATTATCACATTTATTACAATTAATGATTGAATATTTTGATTAAAGATATTTTGAAAAAAAAAAAAAATAAAAAACAAATAAAAAAATTAAAACGTACAAATAGATTCCAAAAGAATTGTCTATGCTTGTCCTTGCAATCATTGTGTGTTTAGTATAAAAAAAAAAATAATAATAATTATTATTATTATTATTATTATTATTATTATTATTACAATTAATGCTTGATTATTTTATCACAAATATTTTGAAAAAAAAAAACAAAAAAAAATAAAACTAATAGAAAAACAAGGTTGTTTTTGTATAAATTGATTTAAAATGAGTTGTCTATAATTCATTGTTTTTACAATCATTGCACTTTTATTATAAAAATAATAATAATAATAATAATTATCACGTTTATTACAATTAATGATTGAATATTTTGATTACAAATATTTTGAAACCCCCCCTCCCAAAAGAAATAAAAAACAAATATAAAAATCACGTTGTTGTTCTATAAATTCATTCCAAAATGGATTGTCCTTGCTTAATCGTTTTTACAATCATTACACTTTTATTATAAAAAAAATAATAATAATAATAATAATAATTACCGTGTTCAAACGATGTCAATTAATGATAGAATATTTTCATTGGTGGTTCTCATTTTCTTTCATGGGAATGGGTGATAAGGGAACGAGGTGAAATTTACTTAATGGTCCATACCACTCGGCAACCTTTACGATCGATAAAGTTTTTGTAAAAAGACCAAAGAGAGAGAAAGAGAGAGAGAGAAAGACAGACAGACAGAGAAAGAGAGAAAGAGAACACATTCATGTTAGAATAACTCAAAAGAAGATTCCTCTATAGAATTCGTTTTAAACCAAGAAAGCTGACCCTTCCAACCATCCCCTTTTCCCACCATCAACCAGTATCCTCAACCCATTCAACGAGCAATTTGAAATTTTCTACGATCTTTTTGCAATTTTTGCTTGTTATTTTTATCGTTACGGAGAAAAGGGGAAAAGAGGGGATGAAAAGGAGGAGAGGGGAGGGGAATATCGACATTTGAAACGTCGATAGAAGAGTTCTGTTTTATATATATATATTCGTACGAAAGACGAGAAGAGGAAATATAAAAAA